ATAGATTAAAAAAAAACAAATTTTTGGTTGAGGTGCTTCTTAAAAGTTGCCCCAAACTTAGGAACTTACGATCGTTTGTGTTGGCTAAGGCCTCGGAGTTGGAGTTCCGGGTTGCGTTACGGAAGATCTAACGCTCGAGTCTACAGTATGTTTCGTTGAACATGTCTCGTAATTTCAGCTGTGGAGGAGTTGTAAATGCGACAATCAAATCTTCTCTTTGGTCAAAAGTAGCCATATAGCCGGTGGATGCTACTGACTGATTGCTCTCCCTCTGATCAGCAATTAAAAAATTAGCGGACGTTTTACTCATGTGTCACTCAACTTGAAAATAACGAATATCTCTCTCTCTAAAACTATTTGAGGAAGTTTAAGATTGCAAATAAATTTCAAAAGCAAGTCAAATTGGGATAACTAAAGCATTGCAGATATATAAGTTAATGGTCTAACTAGTATGTAACAAATTCGAAACTTCGGGTAAAATTTCTGTAATATGTACATATTCCGTATGTGAGTGAAAATATTCACATTTGTAGACATCCATCTAATTATCAGCTTACGTCATGCATGCACTTCCTCATAGGATTCATAGTTCAGAGTTCTAAACCCATGCTTTCTGTATTGTTTTCTATAACTTGAAATTTCCTATATTAGTTGCACACAAATGCTTCAGTGCTTAAAACGCAAAAATTGGGGTAAGATTCCCGCAGCGGACATACTCAGATAGCCCATTGTGTTGCTTGACGTTAGAATAAAAAAATATATAAGTTTTTTTAATGTCATAAATCAAAATTTTAAAACATTGTGTTTTTTTGCAGTTTTCAAATGCAGCATTGTTATTTCACAGATATTGTAATAATCACTACGCTTTAGTGTTCAGTGATAAACACGGTTAAATTTGTTTGTTTGAGTGATTTCATAATTGTTTTGTAAATATAGATTTGATCAATGATAAAATGTCAAATATCCAAAAAATTTTTTTGCTATACTCAATCAAATAACATCAACACAAAAGATATATTTTAATCAAGCTAACAGTATAAGGAGCATGTCTTCACTTTGTCTCATTATTCTGTCTGGAGAGTTCATACCACTGCAATCGCAGCGCCACCAATCGACCTTCTATGCTGTATCTTATCCTCTAGTCTTAACTAAACCAAGCCTAATGTATTTAATACCATGATAAAAGTATGTTGAAATGAATCAAACAAAATAAACTACACATCATTAATTTAGTTAATATTTCGACTGCTAAAATGAAGTCGACTGAAAGCGCCGTTTTATTCTTGATTTGCTGTGAATGAGATACATATGTATTGATGTGTACTGTTGTTATAGTTACGGGGGTTCAATATTAGGATCAACATCTTTTACGTATTAAAACTGTGATTGTAATTGAGAAACAGAAAAGCAAAAACAGAGATTATATATTAAGTTTCTCTTATATTGGACTGTAACAGGAGATAATAAATTGTTCAAACTGATGCAGGAAGAATTATACGCTGGTTAGTTAATGATAATTGACATTAGTGAATGTACGTAACACAAATACAATTATATACATTTGTGACAAACAGCAGTCTTATATTTCAAACATGGTGAAAATCATTAAAATTATAACAATTGCAACAAACTGTATCGAGTTAAGTTTATATTGTTCTCTATTAAGTTTTAAACTCGTTATAGTGTTGATCTATCAAATTATAACAATATCTGCATATTACTTCTTCGCGTAAATAAGATTTTTCGAAATTTCTGACCATGTGTTGTATTAATATAATTATTTGTACTACTCATTATATCAACATCATTTGTACATTGTAACAAGATACGTTATGAATTATATTTCTAGTGTATAAACACGTATTTCATTATACTTTAGTAGCCAGTTTATAAAATAATGTTTTTGATTGAAAACCAGTTTATATATATATATATATATTTGTTAATAGTCTTTTGAGATTTTTAACTTACTCCTATAGTATATATAAGAGAAATAGAAATTTAGGTGCAGAGTCACCAGTGCTTCCCTTTCTATCTTCATCCATTGAATTTGTTGCTTAGGAAAGTACTAGTGGCTTCAACACCATAGTAAAAGTTTACTCGATAAATCTGAAAACTTATACCTCCAGACTTCGTGATAGTGAAGTGATTGGATGTAAAATATGATACCAAAAAGGCCTCGCCTTACTGTTTCATTATTATTATTTTTATAGTAAGCTGAATAACTCAATATCTGAGGCTCATATGATTATGAAAGTGATGTAGATATTGTTTCGCATCAGACTTTAGGTTCTACAGCTGCTATTTTTAGAACTTCTTTGATAGTATAAAGTGGAGGACTTTCAATTACTTTTGTATTCACGATTTATAAGAACTATGAATGTAGCAAACTTGAATAGTACTTAGCCAAATTGTTGACAGTTTGTTTAGAAATAGCATATAAAAGCAAAGCTCTGGTTCAAAATTTTCTCATTCTAAGAAATATTTACGTACTTCAAGGAATTCATTTACTAAGCTATTCGCAAATAGAGATATTATATCACAGCATACAAGCACATAGTTGGGCTATTCATTAAGAGACATAATTTTTCATAGTTATGCTAACACTTTTGTTACATTAGATATCGACTCTAATATAACAACAATAATTTTGTGGGTGAAGTAATTTAATTATAGCACGTTACTACAATGCTTCAGAATACAAATGTGTTACACACAGTGTTCCTCAATTATATTTTGTTTAAAACAAGCTGAAATACCCGTCCTTTTTCCGGGTTATTAACTCAAAAAATGTGAGGGTGGATG